GCCATCTTGCTCATGGCATCATTTTCTATTTCCTGTTCTCATCCTGAAGCAAAGTTCTTAACCCGAGGTACTATTTCTGGGTTAGCGGAGTCTGTAACCTGAAGCGTCTGTAACCTGAAGCTTCTGTAACCTGAGGTACCACTGTACTGTACTGATCAGGAGCAAGAAATTATTGAGTAACTGAGTCTGGTAGGGTTGGAAAAAAAGAGGAGGGCCACAATAAGGGTTAATACTATCAATAAAGATGGAGTGTAGCAGATGCACCCTCTTTAAGTGCCTTAAATTTCTAGGCCAGGGCTCAGGCATTCCAAGCTTTTTCCTCTTGATCAAACATAGTTGCTAATGTTGCCATAGGCATTAAAACTGAATGCTCCTATTTGCCTAGAAAATCCAGTGCATGTGGGCATATAGGATAAGGAAAATGTGCATTAGTTACACATTAGTAGTAACTAATGAATAGTGGGTGTATGATAAGCAGTGTGAAGTAAAACTGCACAACATACACGTACCAAATGTTAGAGGATAGGCATAACATAAATTGTGCTGAGTGCAGCGCTCTCTTAATTTTAAGGGTCATCAGCACACTAGATGCCATTCAGGAGGGTACAATGGTGTGTGTATCTATATGTTTGTATCTATCTAGCTGTCTGTCTACCTGTAATTATCTTTTCCTCCTATAAGCTTACAGAGTAGCCTTCCCCATTCTGAATCAATATACCTTCATTTTCCAATCAAACCTGACTTGGTAAAAAGAAAAAAAATGAACTATTGTAGATAACAGAAATTTACAAGTCAAAGAAATGTGAAAGGAGACACTTATATCCACATACACTGCGATGTCACCATAGCTATAATTTGTGTGAATAGAAATACCATCCATATGTCTTTGGTATCAGCAAAACAGAAGTAAGAATATATTTCATTTGACTGGATCAGACAGCGTGTCCTAAAGCTGGATATTTAATCTGTCACTTTGTGATTTCATAATTCATTGTCCTGTATTGAGTACAATCTAAAGTAGTGATTTCTGGAAAATGTAATCTTTAGGTTCCAATAAACTCTTTGACAGGCTTTGTGTTGATGGACTACTGTGAGCTGAAGGCTGTTTAGAAGATCTATTAGTTTCTAGATTATTTTTGTCAATTGTAAATGTTTGGGGTTGTTGTTTTTTTAGTTTCCACCTACACACTCAAATATGACTTGCATATCTGGTGTATAAATATCATGAAACATTGACATTATCTCCATTGCCAGAATGCATTAATTGTCATTGACTAGGTCCCTTTGATAGGAGATTGGTGAAAAATACAACAAAACATTTCAAATAAATTGTTTAATAATATTATTAAGAAAGAATGTTGATGTGATTGTATCTTTACATTGCTCATAGTGGGTGGTTGTGGATTTTAAAAGCTGTTGAACAAATTTAGGGGCTACACCGTATCTTTTCTGCATAAAAGTCAGAGCTATCAGTCTCTGAAGCTTCGAAAAACTCTTGAGGACATATACTTTGTGTGGGTACCAGTTAATGTCAAGCCTTGAACTAAACATCAGTTAAAATGAAACAGCATTACCTTTGCATATGCAGAATCTTGTTTTCCATTTTCTGTTGGCTAACTTTTGAGAGAAGTAACATTTGATTCAGGCCGCATTTAAGCATTGTAAGATAGGAAAATCTGTATTGCAAATCATGTAATTATAAGTTTTCATTGTATCACCGCTTCTCATTCATTCTCATTCTCATAGCCACAGAGGAGTCAGATGGGCTGGTGGAAAAACATGCAAACCATTTGACCAGAACTATCTTTGTTTTTGTTGGATGACCTGAAGCAAATGATATTTAGAACATGTATGCATGTCCTAAAGTCAGCTTAGTACAATATGGAAAAAGGGAATGGAGATCCTGAGGTCCTGAGTGCAGTGCTGCTGTCCTCCTAACCTCCATGTAAATGTATTTCAATATTATTCCACCACCATCACTCAGCTAAGATTATTTGTTTTATTTTTAATGGAAGCCCCAAATACTTGAGGACATCTTTTTAAAGAATCCTCTGCACTAGGGAAGATTCTGAATCCTTGCTTAGCATTGGTTAAGCATGGGCCTATCACAGAAGGAGTTTTAGCATGAAATTAACCCTTAACAACAAGCCTCTTGTGTGCTTGTGTCAGAGTGGGAGGGATTCCTTATGGGGTGGAGGAGAGTAGGCTGATGCCAGTAACATGAAGACCTTTCTTACAGCTGAACATTTGCTCTCCAGATAGAGTGAAATAAAAAAAGGGGCAGGTAATAAGTAAAATTTTCTCACCTGTTTCTCATATGAGAAAAATGAACAGGCTTGTTCAGTATATAAGACATCACATCACACAGCGATAAAGGAGCTGGTTTACACATGTTGGAGCCAGTGCTGCTGTGAATAAGGAAAAGAAATTACATTATTTTTGACCAAGGTGTTTAACGACAAAACTGGAATTCTTCACACAGCCATCCAAGCCAACTAGTGCATAAAAGCGTATTGTACTTTGCCATTTTAATTACATTTCTGCCTGCTGCTTTTCTTAATGAATAACTTTAATTAATATAAGTTCTGTCAAGAGAAGCAACATTTGCATCCACATTGTACAAAAGAGCCAACCTAAATTGCTACTCATATTCCCCCCAAACCTGCGCAAATCAGTTCCGGGGATCCCCCAACCGTCTAGAGCCAAACTGGGGACAGGGTGCAGGGGCACCTGGGGAGGAAGTCCCATTGTGCAGTTGGAAGCAGCTAAATGTCCATGAATAGTTCTTCTCTACAGTTTATGTTAATTTTGGGAGATCCAGAACTCTACAATTATATTGTGGTGGCATTTATGGAAAAACAGTTATTGCTACTAAATAAAAGGTTGGGAATGTACTGGCTGGCTATGTTTCATTTACCTGTAACTACATGTCACAGTTTAAGGGAAAGGTAGAGGCTGGAAATCCCTTATTCTTAAACTTCCCTTAATATATTTAGCCTCCCAGGCTTGCCTTGAGCTGCCTTTTACCAGCATGGGGTCCAGACCCATAGTGATGTCGCAGTGATATTCTCATATCAAATTGTTATCATCATGGTAGTGCGTGTCCTGGGCACTCCTTATACCATAGTTTACCCATCAGGGAGAAACTATGGGTGGCTGGATATACAAATACTGATTGGAAATGTGGAAAAAAACAGGGGAGAAACATCTTGTGCAAACAGAGTTTTGTGAGCAAAGGCAAGGGTGAAACTGAGTCAAGACAATCTCTTTCACAGCAAGGGTTTGACAAGGAGTTTGACCTCTACAGGGAATTGATTTTTCCTGATTTGTTGCAGAAGGGGAGAGAAAGAATGGGGAAACTTGTTGATGCCCTAGTCTTACTGTGGACGGTGAGATGTGTCATGCCATCAACTCAATCGATCCTGAGCAACCCCTCTGGCACCAAAGTGGTCGTTTGGTATTCTGAGGAATTTTGGTGACTGAACAGGCAGGGTGATGGATAAAGCACAAGTGTCATAAAATTAGTGGTGAAGACAACTAGGCATTTGTAGAGTGAAAAATCATTTACAGTATATTGTGTGGCAGTGAAGGGAGAGCTGGCTCCATCACATCCTTGAGTAGCTGTCCAACAGTTCTTTTGCATGGCAGATTGTCTCTGTAACAATGTGAATGGTGTAGTTAGGGTGGCCACAGCTATTGTAACCTGGGAATGTGGACATGGCGCTTCCTACATCCAGCCAACCATATGTGTACAATTAACCTTGCCCATTGTGACTGATTAGAACTAGCCAAGTGGCATTGGCCATGATGGCCAATAAACTTAGTCCCAGTAAGACAGAAGCTTAGTCCTACTATTCAGTTGCCCTGTGAGGGACTGATTTTCAGGTTTGGGGAGAATGTTGCATTCCTTTTATGGCAGGAACTGCATTCCTCTTGAAATAGCAGGTTCATAGCTTGAGAGTGCCTTTTGATCCCTCTTTGCCACTGGAGATTCAGATGGCCTTGGGATCTAGGAGAACATTTCATTGCCTTCGGCTGGTGTGCCAGATATGCCCAGTCCTGGATGGAGACAGCTTGGGCATAGTGACCCACTCATTTTTAACTTCTAAATTAAATTATTGAAACATGCTCTATATGCAGCTAGTGCAAACTGCAGCTGCTAGGATGCTTAATGGAATGCTTTGCAGATATTGTGTTCATGCTGAGTGATTTGCACCAGCCCCCTGTTTCAGGCATTGTTGTTGACCTAGACCAGTGGTGGCCAAACTTGGCCCTACAGCTGTTTTTGGACTACAACTCCCCAGCTAACAGGACCAGTGGTCAGGGATGATGGGAATTGTAGTCCCAAAACAGCTGGAGGGACACGTTTGGCCACCACTGACTTAGACTATTCTAAAAGGTGCTTCTAGTCATATTGTGTTTAGCTGGCAATAATTCTAGCCAAGATCCCTTGAAGAAGAATCTTCCACATTGATGAATGATGGCTTTTACATTGTAGAATGACACACACACACACCCTTCACAAGACATTCCTGGGCACTGATACTTAGTATAGGTTTTATTGAACCTTGGGATTCTGATTTTTGTTGTGCTAAACTGCTTTTTTTGTACACTGGAAGGCCATCTGAGCCATTCACAATGAGGACACACACTGGGCTGCTTCTTATTGTAGATGACATTGAACTTTTATGGCTTTGAATTCAAATTGTAGAGAGGGTTAAGTGTATATTCTCCATTTTTGAATTTGTATGTTAAGCTGAATTTGTCCGAATTCCCTAAGTGGCATTTCTTAGCTCTTGCTAAGACGCTCTTGGTATTAAGACATAATTTTCAGTTGGCCCTGCTTTTGTTGTTCTTAATTCATGGAATGAAACTAAAATGGGGATATTATGGTTGTTATATTTCTTATTTATGGGATGAAAATATTCTTATTAGCTGTGCAATTCAGAGTTTATTGTATTTTAAATTAATGTATTCGTGTTTTGGTGACTTTTTAACAGGCAATAACTTCAAGATGGCATTGTGAATACAGATTCTGCTACAAGAAAATAACAGTAAGTGTTTCTGTTTGCTATAACTTGTTGTAAAAAGATACTATTTCATATATGTGACTGTGGTATTATTTGAATGAATTTTTAAAAGCTACCTTTCTTTGGCCTATCTTGTCATATTCCTTTTACAAAGATTTTTTCCCCAGAACTTTAGTGGTACAGTTTTAATAGTATTAACTGATAAAGAAGAAGGGATATTGTTCTCATTATACAGTCTTTTTAATTTAAAATGCATTGAATAAATGCCTTCTCCCCCCCACTTTTGGTTATCAAAATAGAATTGTTTATAAGTATGTAGGGAAATGCTAATGTGCTTACAAATATAATGTTGGCTATTCCACTTTCATGTGAATTGTTGATGTGAGCTTTTAGATTAAAAGGATCTGAATTTTCGCTGCAAAATAGAAATATTAATGTTGCCATTAGCTCAGTAATTGCAAAAGGAAGATGTAGTATTGACCATGGTTTTAAAAAGAGATTGTAATTATTTACAGTGAAATACGTGCTGCTACAATATTATTGATAGGAGGTACATAATTGATTTTAAGTGTTTATTGATTGTAAAGGGAAACCTCTGCATAAAAATTAATGAAATAGTAGTGACCTCTCATTATGTTTTGCTTTCAGGATCTGGAATGGGGGAACTAAATAAAATTATTCTATTTCATATTAATTGTATCATAATTCAAGTCATCTGAGACAACATAACCTTGCTTTTTAATTTCTATACTGTCATTTCTGATGTAAAATTTTAGGAGGACATAATATAGGCTACTGATAATCATTCAAAGACTGTGTAGGAGCTTTCTGTTCTCCTTTAAGACAAATGTTAAAAATCATATCTTAACCTCATTATTATTTGCACATAATGTTATGTTAGCATGAAGAAGACTTTGTATATTAACCACATTAACTTTAGAATGTGTGCCATACATTGTAATTTCCAACATGTATGTTTAGACAAACACCGGCTCCCTCGGCCAGTAAAGCAAGATGAGCGCCGCAACCCCAGAGTCGTTGGCCAGGGGTCCCTTTAACTTTTTACATGTTGCACATAAATGTGACTAATTAAATCCTGAAGGCCCACTGCAGGGTCAGAATGATACAATTTGAAATAGAAAAACATTGGGTGGAGTTGTGGAGAGAATGTTAACTCTTTCCCAGCCAGCCACTTTCCCTCTTCACTTGGGTGCAGATAGGTTCCTTCCAGAAGTCTTTCTACATGATAAAGAGTTATCTGATACCTTGTGGAGAGTGTATTAGAAAACCAGTGGGTGATGAAGAGTTGCACAGGAATTCTCCACTGTGGCTTCCCTAAATTTCATTGCTCTAAATTACAACAATGAAACAAGACAATGGAATTAACAGTTTGTGCCTTTGCTTTGAAATTCCATTTTATATGAAAAGCAGAGTGCTTGTGTATTCTCTGTCTCTTGTGACATGTGTGAGTTACAAAGGTTTATGGAATTCACACATCTCATGACAGGAGAAATCTGCAGATTTGTTTTGCGTGCTGTACAGAAGCATGAAAAAGAAAAGCACACGAGTCACAAATCAGCTTTTTGCTAATACTTAGTGAATAGAAACATTGTATTGTTGTTAATGGATATAAAAAGAAACACATTGTAAAGCCTACTGCTGAAAAGATAGAATAGATAAAGGGGAATATGTTGCAATAGAAAACATAAAAGTGTGTTTTGTTGGTTTAAAGTATCTGTATTGCAATTAAAATTATGGCTTTGATATAACATTTTAGAAGGATAAAGAATATAGCCTACAGGATGAGGAATTAGAGAATCATAGCATTGGAAGGGATCCCAATGGTCATCTGGTCCAACCCCCTGAATGTAGCAATCTCAACTAAGGCATCCATGACAGATGGCCATCCATCCTCTGCTTAAAATAACTGCAAGGAAGAAGAGTCCAACACCTCTTGTGGGAGTGTGTTCCACTGCCAAGCAGCTCTTTAGTGTCAGAAAGTTCTTCCTGCTGTTTAGTTGGAATATATTTTCTTGTAACTTGAATCCATTGGTTCAGGTCCTAGCCTCTGAAGCAGGAAAAAAACAAGCTTGCTCTATCTGCTTTGTGACAGCCCTTTAGATATTTGAATGTGACTATCATATCACCTCTCAGGCTTTTCTTTTCCAGGCTAAATATATCCAGATCCCTCAACTGTTCCTCATAAGGCTTGGTTTTCCAGAGCCTTGATCATCTTGGTAACCTTCCTCTGCACACATGCCAGCTTGTCAACATCCTTCTTAAATTGTGCCACACAGAACTGGACACAATACTCCAAGCGTGGTCTGACCAAGGCAGCACTATGCCTTGGTGGTACTATGGTACTATGACTTTGCTTGATCGGAACATTATACTTCTGTTGATGCAGCCTAGAATACCATTAGGGATTTTTTATTTTTTTGCTGTTGCATCACACTACGTTAAGCTACTAAGACCCCTAGATTCTTTTCATATTACAAGTCAGGTATGCAACACCTTTTATATTTGTGCAGCTAGTTCTTCCTGCCTAAATATAGAACCTGGCATTTGTCCCTAATGAAATTCATTTTGTTAGTTTGGGCTCAATTCTCCAGTCTGTTAAGGTCATATTAGATTCCAATTCTGTTTTCTGCAGCATTGGCTACCCCTCCTACTGTCACTCTGTAGCATTTCTCCATTTTCTCCATCCAGAGGACCTACTACTTATTTGTTCTTCCTCAAAGATACCTGTATTCTTATTTTTTAACCTTTCTTGCAAGCCTGAGCTCATTCTGAGCTTTGGCCTGCCTGACCTTCTCCCTACAAATGTTGGCCTTCATTATTTCCTCTTTCTTCCATTTCTTGTGCATGCCCTTCTTAAATCTCAGCTCATTTATAAGCTCCTTATGCAGCCACACTGGTTTCCTTATATGCCCCCCACTTTTCTTTCTTTTTGGGCCTTCAATATTTCACATTTAAGAAATTCCCATCCATCTTGCACTCCTTTCTCTTGGAGTATTTCTGACCATAGGGTCCCTCCTAGTACAGTGGTACCTTGGGTTACATATGCTTCAGGTTACATATGCTTCAGGTTACAGACTCTGCTAACCCAGAAATATTACTTCGGGTTAAGAACTTTGCTTCAGGATGAGAACAGAAATCATGCTCCAGCGGCGCAGCAGCAGCAGGAGGCCTCATTAGCTAAAGTGGTGCTTCAGGTTAAGAATAGTTTCAGGTTAAGAACGGACCTCCGGAACGAATTAAGTACTTAACCTGAGGTACCACTGTACATCCTAAAGCTTTTTGAAATCATTCAGAGATATAGTTTGTGCATAGGAGCTTTCCAATTCTCTTCTATGACAGAGAAAACTATAACAGATGTCAAAAAAATACTCAGACATTAGAACACTTTGCATTGCTTACAGATGTATAGAAATGTCAAGTTATCTTAATGTATTACAGGAGAAAGAGTTTGATACAAGACACTTTTACAGTATGCTTAAATAATATTTGTGACCCATACATATATCACTTAAAATTGTGCTGTTAGCTCATATTCATAAATATGCATAGTAACATAAGTTTTTGCTCTCTGTATTACTGTGCATGATCCCAGGGGCCAGTTGCCATCACTCACTATGAAGGTGTCCTGATTTTAAAATATATATATAAAAAAACTGAAGATTTCCCCCCTAAAGATCTGGATTAGCTGAGGTTGTAATAAAATAGATACAGCCTTTTTATATTATTTATCTAAAGGTTAAAATCTATATTAACAATACCGACCTTGTATGCTTGCAAAGGTTTGTTTTGTAGCTATTATTAGTAAGAATATCAGAGATGACTACAACAGTTATTTGTATTTCTTCTCTGTCCATTCCTCACAATAATAACATAATACTTTACAATGACAAATTGCTCTTTATTTTATTGTTGTAAATTTTTAAATGATTGCAATTTACTGGCTTGTGAAATCCAAATTGGAGATTTTTATTCTGCCCCCTTCTTTATTCTAATCCTGTCTCCAGTGTTTGGAATTAATTTATTTTCTTCATTTTATCATGGTCTTGGCTTGACAAATGGTACATGACTTCCTGCTGTTTCTTTGTCTCAGTTTTTCTGTTTCTGCATTGTACCAGAATGAGTTGCAGAATGTTTGCTCAATCCTAAATCACTATAGCTTCCTTCTGGCAGATTTGGAAACTACCAAACAGGATGTGGATATTGAACTGCAAAACAGGATATGTGTAGCGGTCTTCAGCGCCTGTACTAATTTACCTTAATTCCAATCTGCATTAATTCCCCTTCCATTTTCCTTTCCACCTTTTTGAACTACCATTATTTCCACAGCATGCCATGTGCCTTTGCACCTGCTGGTATTTTATCAGGGTGTGCCTCTTTTTCCCAAAGCTGACACTGTCAGATTAAAGAAGCCAGGTTTTCTATACAACAATTTCAAAAATGAACAATGAATACTTTACAACGGTGTCTACATTCCTGATATGATAGAAACAAAAAAGTTTGGCAACCCAGATTGAAGAAAATACTCTTGAGAAAGATCAATAGCTTCTATCCATGTTGCATTGTAAACTGAGAAAAGAACCAATGACATAAAGTGTAAAACAGAGAGGAGAGGCATGAATACACACTGTAGGAGACCTGAGCTGTGATTTAAATATTGTTCTTAACAAATCTTTTTTCTTTTCTTTTTAAATTGGGGGTAGCAGCTACAGATCCCATCATCCCTGACTGTTGGCCATACTGGCTGGGACTGATGAAAGCTGTAGTTCAGCAATATGTGGACTACTTTGGCTAACCCTGATTTCTATTATCTTGTTGAAAATATGGTTACAGGTCAGGATATAAATATTTTAAATAAATAAAAATAAATGCTGTGGTATGGTATTGCACTATATAAGGCTTTGTCTCAGTACCACACAGAAAATGCACTGTATTATTAACAAGTACTATTCCCCCAGCTGAATCTATACATATACTCAGGTGGACAAATGTTTTCCATTTATTTA